CCCTAACCCCTAAACCCCTCACCCCTAAACCCTAAACCCTAAACCCCTAATTTCTTTGAGCCCTACTTAAAGGATCATGGGACTTAGTAAGTAGGGTTTAGGGTTTAGGGTTTAGGGAACCCTACTTAAAGGATCATGGGACTCCGTAAGTAGGGTTTAGGGTTTAGGGTTTAGGGTTCAGGGTTCAGGGTTCAGGGTTTAGGGTTTAGGGTTACTTAAGGATCATGTGACTTAGTAAGTGGGGTCATAACTAAGGTAACTATACTTATAACCCCAATTAAGGGACTTATAACCGTACTTACTAAGTCCCATGATCCTCTCTCCAACTGCTACCCAGAACTTCAGGAAACGCGTCCGTACAGCCAGAAAGCCCTGAAGCCCCAAGCCCCTTTTAGGGCTTAGGGTTCAGGGTACCTGAACCCTATGTCCTGTTCCTTCTCTGTGAACCGGAAAACCTAGATCCTATGACCTCAGAAGGCTGCCGAACCTGACGCTCGTCGAAGAAGATGAACTCCCGGTAGGTGCCCACCTTTGAGAACTTTCGGGCTCTCAGGGTTTAAACGCTCAGATTCGGGGATGTAAGCTTTCGGGATTGGATCGCGGCTCTCTGGAAAAGTTTACCGTGGCTGTGCAACGCACGTTCCCGAAAGGATAGGCATGTAAGCACGCGGGATTCAGGCTAAAGCCGCGGCAGCAAGAAGCTGAAGCTCCCACCCTTAAAACCAAGGAACAACGCTTTAGGCCAGGTTTAAGGGTTCATTCGGTTCTCGGGTTCAGAGTTTCCGGGTCCATTCAAAGGGCGGTCAGCTGAAGAGTTTTTTTTGGGAGCGAGGACTTGTGGCAGTTGGGAGCTTAGGTAGTGGGACTGTTCATTTTCGCATACGTCATACCTACTTCTTGGACTGGCCAAGGGGGACCTAAAGGTCAACCTCTTGGGAGGATGATATGCGGATGATACTGATACTGCACAGAAGGTCACAGTTTGCCTGCTCTACTAAGAGTAAGAGGCTAAGGGAGCCCGAAATCAGCATCCTCAAGTCCAATGGGGGAAGTACTGAGTATGGCAGAGTCATAGGTCCATTAAGTCTCAGTTCAAGTCGTGGATCAGGGATTCTGTGTTTGAGTTCTAAGCTTACTCTGCAGCACAGATATGCTGCCCAGCCCATTTTTGCCAGAACAAGCACAGGTACCCTAAACCCTAAACCCTAAACCCTAAACCCTAAGAAACCCTAAACCCTACAACTAATCAATACCGACATCAATACCCGTGCCTTGGACTCCCGGTCGCCCACGACACAGTCCATGCCAGCTGCTTTGGCGGCAGTCACCGCCTCAGGGCTGCTCACAGACAAAGCTCCAGTTAGCCAATGGGTTGTTCTCTAAATTAGGGTCCCTTTTTGGGTCCTTTATAAGGGTGCCGTACTCTGTTTGGGACCTAAACACGGGCCCTAATTTAGAGAACTACCCCAATACGATTACGACCCATTCCGAATCCCTGCTTATGCACACCCTCCCACACAAAAACTTAAGATCTTCTCAATCTCGAAGCAAAAAAGTAGCTGAGGCTGGGGCGTCGCCCGGGTCTTGGACGATGTAGGGGTCGCCTACCAGGCTGCGGCAGATGAGCATCGCCATGAGGCCAGGGAACCTCAGCTTCTGCGGGTCTCGTTGGAGTACCGTAGGGCATCCCAAGGGTGTGACTGCGTGCTCTAGTTCTGCCGTTTCTTTGATGTATGGGATCCTGAACTTTAGGTTGCGTAATGTAGGGGCCTGTATAATTAGAATAGGGTTTTGGGCTCATGTACAGTATAAGTATAATACGGAACCCTAAGGAATATTACTGGTAATCATTTAGGCTTCTATACTAGCTGTCGAGAAGATACAGTAAAGGCCTTGGGGGCTTAAGCGGGAGGAACCACAGCGTCGAGTTGTGATAGCTGATACGGCAGGAAGTTGTGGCTCCGACATTTTGAGCCAGACAACTGGAGACTTCAGATTTGGGATCCAGCGCAGCAGTGGGATTCTCGGTTTAACCCAGCAGCATTTTCTCTCCAGTCTGGAAGTTACTACTGTGCTCGCAAAATCACTGCTGTCATGCTGCGTAACCTTAAACTTAAACCCTAAACTCCTAAACCCTAAACCCTAAACCCTAAACTCCTAAACCCCTAAACCCTAAACCCTAAACTCCTAAACCCCTAAACCCCTAAACCCCTAAACCCTGAAGCCCTCACACCATGACACCC